CCTACATTTTTTTAAATTTATATGTATATTGTAGATTAATATAAAATAAAAAAAAGTAATATAAAAATCATATTAAAAGTCATCCTCTGAATCTCATAAAAAAACGTGTATATAAAATAAATTTAAATGAAACAAGAAACATTTATTTAATTTCTTTTTAATTTAGCTCATTAATCAATTATATCCTCATATTATTACAATTTATTGAATACGAATTTATCAAAAGTTTGAACTGTTCGTTTTTTTTATTTTTCCATTTCAAAATATTCAATTTGAATAAAATAATTTTTGTTTTAAATTTGTAATTTACGTTGTGTCTGAAAGTAATTGAAACTTTATTTGTATATAAATGCAACCTTGCCTGCACAAACTTTATGTTGTGTCTGAAAGTAATTGAAACTTTATTTATTAACAAATGCAACCTTGCCTGCACAAACTTTATGTTGTGTCTGAAAGTAGTTGAAACTTTATTTATTAACAAATGCAACCTTGCCTGCACAAACTATTTACTTACAATTAATTATTACAAGAGGAAAAAAAATACCTTATTAAACTTGAGAACACAAATACAAATAAATAATCAAAATAACAGAAGAATTATTTATTACAAGCATTGCTACGCGATAAAAAGAAAATGAACCTTAATTTATGAATGCTGATATTTTAGGATATGCAGGACTTTTTCATAAATGCAGAAAGCTATCACGGTGTTTAAAACAAAATAATAACTAATTATTTTAAATATTTATATTAATAAAATTATGTATTCATATTTAATACGCATTATTTGTCTTTTATATTAAACACAAAATTATATTATCTTATACAATTTCCGAATTGACTGTTTCTATTTTGTATTAAATTTCTTTTATTTCAAGAGAGGAGGAAAAAAAATTTGTTTTTCTTTGAAATACAAAAGAATCATCTTTATCTAGAAATTAAAATTATATGAATAGGTTGAAATGGATTATATGGAAATAATTAGTTGTAAAAATTTTTTATTAAATTGAAATAAATGAATCGTAATTGATTATTTAAAATTTCGTAAAAAGAAATAATTAAAATATGATATAAGAATCGAATAGTTAATGTATCAATATTTTTAATATATGCGTTTATTTTACTTTGAAAAATCATATTAATCATTTGAATTTTCCCGGAATCGTTATTTTAATATCAGTACTGATATTACCCATTCTAAAAAAAAATTAGTTTTATTTTCTTGTGTTTGCATTTCTATAAAAAAAAATTTTTTCTTTTTCTTTTTCATTTTTTTTGACTATATATGATTGATTTATAATTTAATACTGCATCTTGGTATTGTGATTCTAAAATCATTATTTTACAAATTTTCTAAAAATTATGAAATTTTTATTTTTTATTCAGTACTGAAGTTTCATATAAATTATAAAAAGATACTTTTTTTTTGTTTATTTTTTTGGAATATATTTTATTTTTACTGACAACGAAAATTAGTTTTAGTACAATAAATCATTCATTAAATGTAAATAGTTTAATTTTCAGCGTTTAGTAGGCTTTATAGAAAAAAAAATTTGTAGTTTGTTTAAATTTTTAGTTTTTAAATAAGCATTCCGTTTTTAGTAAAATTTAGTTTTCTGTAGACTTTTAAAATTGTTCAGTTTTTACTAATTTTCATTTTTGTTTTTTGTATAGTTCAGTAAAATTTAATTAATTTTAGTAAACTTTAAAATTTGTTTCGTTATTTAGTAAAATTTTTGTTTTTTTTTGTTTTTAGCTTAGTCTAGTAAAATTTAGTTTATTTTAGTAAGCATTTAAAATTGTTTAGTTTTTTTTAAAAATAATTTTCTTTTTTTTTTGTTTAGTTTAGTAAAATTTACTTTATTTTATTAAAGTTTCAAAATTGTTTTTCTTTTTTTTATAATTTTCATTTTTTTTGTTTAGTTTAGTAAAATTTAGTTTATTTTAGTAAACTTTTAAAATTGTTTAGTTTTTAGTAATTTTGAAATTAGTTTTTAGTTGAGTTAGGTAAAATTTAGTTTATTTTAGCCAACTTTAAAATTTTTATTTTTTAGTAATTTTGAAATTAGTTTTTTTTTTTTTTTTTTATTTATTTGCAAAATTATCAAACCCACGGTTAGAAAACCATTAAAGGGTATTACATTGTAGTGTACAAAATAAATCGTAGAATTTAAACTATAAAAATAGATAAACAAAAAATAAGGAGAAAAAACTATCTTTTAGATAGTATATACAAAGTAACTGCAGTTTTAAATTTAGTTAATGACATATTAAATATATCAAGGTCTATATCACTGTGAATACACATATTGTTAATCTGATCACACATTTGGTACATTGGTGCTGAAAAACCTATCGCGGATCGCGGAGTTGACAAAACGAAAGGTTGGTTGAGTCTAGAGGACAGTCTAGGTAATTTAAATTTTATTAAAGATAACAAATAAGCGGAGTCAATGGAATAGTTAATTAATTTGTAAATGGTTATACATTGGTTTATAAAGCGTCTTTCAGCTAAAGTAAGAAAATTAAAATTTTTACATAATATGAGGTAATCAGAACCTTGTGGTGGATAACAACCAGTTCTTCGAAAGGTCAAGAACTTCAGATACCCTTTTTGAATCTTTTCAAGTGAAGTTATATATTTATCAAAAGAAGGATTCCAAATGCAAGGGGCATAATTAAATTTAGATAAAATAAAAGTTTTAAATAAAAGGATTAGTGTGTTAAGGTTTCTGAAATTCTTGGTATTTCGGTATAAACACCCTAAGGCCTTAGAAGCATTTAATTCCAAATTTCTAATGTGATCTTTAAAATTTAAATTAGAATTGAAAGTTATACCTAGATCAACAATTGAGTCCGTTCTAGACAGGTTAATTTTATTGATGGAGTAGTTATAATAAATTGGAGTTTTATTTCTCGCAAAAGTAACAACATGGCACTTATCTAGATTCAATTTAAGATGATGGTCAAAGCACCAATCTTCAAAGATCTTTAAACAAGATTGTAGGAAAAATGTATCATCTTCCGTAATAATTCTTTTGAAAATTTTAAGATCATCAACATAAAAGAGAGTTTCTGTTGGCAATAGGTTAGCTACATCGTTAATAAAAAGATTAAATAAGAATGAGCTTAAAACAGATCCTTGTGGAATTCCAGAGGAAGGTGTGAAAGGAGGGGAAGAATATCCATTGTATTGAACAAAATTAGGTCTTTGTGTGAGGTAGGATTGCAATAGGGTGATTAAACTATAGGGTATATTCAGGTCATATAGTTTTGAAAATAAAAGGTTATGGTCAACACTGTCGAAAGCCTTTGAGAAATCAGTATAAATAACATCCAGCTGATCTCCTCCAGCAATGGCCTCATTGATATGTTGAGTTATGCTAAGCAAGTTAGAAATAGTAGATCTTTTATCAATGCAGCCATGCTGTTGGTGAGCAACTATGGAATTAAAAGGGAAAGACTTTTGGTTAATAATAGACCTCTCAAAGATCTTCGCAAAGTTTGTTATAATTGAAATTGGTCTATAATTTTTTATCAGTGATTTGTCACCTGATTTGAAAATTGGTACGATTTTAGTGAATTTCCAGGCATGGGGAAACTCACCCGTGGATAACATTTTGTTGTAAAGATAACATAATGGTTCATGCAATATGGAAGAACATGACCTAAGAAAAAAACTTGGAATATCATGTATGCCAGACGTATTTTTTGTATTTAAGGATTTCATGGCATTAGATACTTCGGATGGATGTAGTTGGAAATTGTCAGTAGGATGAGTATTTAAGGTTGTTGTGATACTGTTAGTGTTTGTAGTAGAGGGTATATATACACTAGAGAAAAAGTTGGCAAAAACATTAACAATATCCTGGTAATTGTCAAAAGACTCATTATTGAGTGACATTAAATTTGGAATTCGATTATTTTTTTTCCTGAATTAATGTGTTTCCAAAAAGAGTTTGGGTTAGAGTGGTATTGTGTTTCTAAGTCATTGTAAAATTTTTTCTGTTTTTCATTAATTCTTTTTTTTATACTAGACGTTAGAATTAATAGTTGTTCTTTAAGTTTTAGATTTTTACTTTTTCGAAATTTTTGAAAAGTTGATTTTTTTAATTTTATGTCATTAATTAAGTCAGGAGTGTACCATATAGGAAACTTGTGTTTATAAATGTCGTCAGTAAAATATGGAATATGGTTTTTAAATAATTCCAAAATTTTTTCTTCCAAAAAATGGCAAGCCTCATCAATGCTACCCATATCCCTTATTATCGACCAGTCCCAAGATGCAAGTTCAGAATAAATCATGGGGTAATTGCCTTTTTTAAAATTAAAACGAGGGTTAATACTAGCAGGAAGTGTATCATTGATATTAGAATAAGAAGAAGAGATAGTAAAGGAGACAGAAATAGCTGGATGATAATGATCTTCATAAACTAAGGGGGTAGGGGGACTGTCAGCTTCGCAGTTTAAGTTTGTTAAAATTAAATCAAGAAAAGTGCCATGCTTATTACATGTACCTTTATAGAGATTGACATTGAAAAAATTTACAAAGTTGAGTAATATGTCAATTTTATTGTCCGCTAGATGTAATTTTGAGATTCGATTAGACTGATCAAAATATTTACAAAAATTTGGAGCATTAAAGTCGCCTATAAATATAATATTTTGTGAGAATTTATGGCTTTGTAATTTTAAATTATCAAAAAAATCATTATATTCGTAAGTTGATAAATTTGAGGGAACGTAAAGTACTATAATATCAACATTAACATTGTGCTTAATCAATCTAACGCCTGAAACGTTAACTTTGTTTAGAAGGCTTAAGGGAATAGAAATGTCAATAGGTGATACGAAAATATGCGATTTAACTGCTAATAAGACACCTCCCCCTCTACGGTCGGGTCTATCATGTCGATAAACATTGAAATTGTGTAGGGGAAAAAGATCACTGGAGTTAACATCGTTGGAGAGCCAAGTCTCAGATAGTGCTAAAATGTCATATAACGAATAGTCTGGGAAGGATTCTAATTGAGAAAATTTAGTATTCAATCCACGCACATTTTGATAGAAAACATTAATATTAAACTTGAGAAAATTATTAGGTTTAATCGATGATAAATTCAAACTGATATTATTTTCGGTATTCCTTTGTAGAAACGAATTTTGAGATTTGTTTCTCCTGCCTTGATGCGGTCGTTTAATATGGTCTTAACATCTCTGTATTCCTGTTGTTGTCGCACTGTTTTGTCCGTGGTAAACACAAGAGATCGGTGGGGGGATGTTGTTTCTTTAACTTTCTGCATGTTGAAAGAATTAGAGAAGCGATCTCCTGAGAGCCACACATTATTTTCAGAGGTCTTGGGTTGGTGCGTGCCTGGGAAAAAATACCTAGTCTTGAAATTTTTATATTTTCTGGCTTATACATGCAGGAATCAGGTATAATTGATTTAGTAATGTCTAAACTATTACTTCTATCCACGTCTGTATCATAAGAAAGATTATTATCAAGTGGTTCTTTTAAACCAAAAATTATAAGGTTGGACTTCCTTCTCTGTCTATCCTCAAACTCACCAAGTAGGGAATCAGCTGTTTCTATGTCTCGGGGCAAAGATGATTCCAATTCCCTAATTTTTATCTCCATATCGTCTACACGTTCAGATGTTAAAGTAACGCTGGATTCAATATCGGAAACAATGCACTTAACTGTATTCAGTCTTCTGCCGTATTCTAGGAAATCTGATTGCAACAATGATAAAGATTGATTTGCTTGGGAAACAGAAATTTCCAATCTGTTTATACCTTCCATCATAGTACGAGTTGACTCAGTCATTTGTTTAGCGAGGCGGTCGACAGAGTCTTCTTTTGAAAGAGAGGGATGGAGAAAAGTATCATTCGAATCGAGACTTGTAGTTGGGGAAGGAGACCTTGATGAAGCAGGGCCGCAGCAAGGCTTATAACCACCATTGTCCATTATTTTAACCTTTTTTACACAACTGGGATGGTATGGTGTATTGCAGTTTGGACAACAAACAGCTTTATCCACTTTTAATTTGCAACCACGACACAAACTCACTGTCACTTTAGGTATATCTAATGTTTTTTGGGACATTTTGAACAAGGCGGTAATAGATCGAAATCAAGTAAATGTTTTCAGAAATGGTTGTAGTCACACAAGACACCATCAATTCTTATCAAGTAATTATAAGAGTTGAGTTAGGTAAAATTTAGTTTATTTTAGCCAACTTTAAAAATTGTTTAGTTTTTAGTAATTTTGAAATTAGTTTTTAGTTGAGTTAGGTAAAATTTAGTTTATTTTAGCCAACTTTAAAAATTGTTTAGTATTTAGTAATTTTTAGTTTTTGTTTTTAGTTAAGTTTGGTAAAATTTAGTTTATTTTAGCAAACTTTGAAATTTTTTAGTTTTTAGTGATTTTGAAATTAGTTTTTAGTTGAGTTAGGTAAAATTTAGTTTATTTTAGCCAACTTTAAAAATTGTTTAGTTTTTAGAAATTTTGTTTTTAGTTAAGTTTGGTAAAATTTAGTTTATTTTAGCAAACTTTAAAATTTTTATTTTTTAGTAATTTTAAAATTAGTTTTTAGTTGAGTTAGGTAAAATTTAGTTTATTTTATCCATCTTTAAAAATTGTTTAGTTTTTAGAAATTTTGTTTTTAGTTAAGTTTGGTAAAATTTAGTTTATTTTAGCAAACTTTAAAATTTTTATTTTTTAGTAATTTTGAAATTAGTTTTTAGTTGAGTTAGGTAAAATTTAGTTTATTTTAGCCAACTTTGAAAATTGTTTAGTATTTAGTAATTTTTAGTTTTTGTTTTTAGTTAAGTTTGGTAAAATTTAGTTTATTTTAGCAAACTTTGAAATTTTTTAGTTTTTAGTAATTTTGAAATTAGTTTTTAGTTGAGTTAGGTAAAATTTAGTTTATTTTAGCCAACTTTAAAAATTGTTTAGTATTTAGTAATTTTTAGTTTTTGTTTTTTGTTAAGTTTGGTAAAATTTAGTTTATTTTAGCAAACTTTAAAAATTGTTTAGTTTTTAGTAATTTTGTTTTTAGTTTTTAGTGAAGTTTAGTAAAATTTAAATTATTTTAGTAAACATTCGAATTTTTAGTTTTTAGTAATTTTTGAATTTAATTTTTAGTTAAGCTTGGTAAAATTTAGTTTATTTTAGCAAACTTTAAAAATTGTTTAGTTTTTAGTACATTTGTTTTTAGTTTTTAGTTAAGCTTGGTAAAATTTAGTTTATTTTAGCAAACTTTAAAAATTGTTTAGTTTTTAGTAATTTTGTTATTTTTTTTTAGTTAAGTTTGGTAAAATTTAGTTTATTTTAGCAAACTTTGAAAATTTTTTAGTTTTTAATAATTTTGAAATTAGTTTTGAGTTGAGTTAGATAACATTTAGTTTATTTTAGCCAACTTTAAAATTTTTCTTTTTTTTTTTAATTCAGTAGTTTGTTTTAAATTTTATTCGAGTAGTTTTAGGAAATTTTGAAGTTTTTACAAAAAGTTTTATTTTACTCCGATATTCAGATTTTAGTAAAGTAGTTTTAGTTTTAGTAGTTTCAATAGTATTATTCTTCTCTTTACTTTTATCCTTCTATTTTCATTTAGTAGTTTTACAAAAATTAGTACAAATTTATATGATTTTAAAATGAGATGAAGAAGACAACTTAATTTCTCAAAAGTTAAGACCAAATCATATCCCTCCGGGGCCTCTAAAAATTATATTCCTATGTTACGCCTGAAGATATAACATAGTTAAAAAAATAGTTAATAATAATTATTAACTAGATATTTGAACATAGACTCTAAAGTCCAATAGTTCGGGAAACTTTTAGTCTAAACCTTGATTAATTAAATTATCTTAAATTTGAGTATTAAAAAAAAGGAAGTTTAAAAGAAAGAAGAAAAGAAGCTAACGGAAGAGAATTGAAAATGTATAGCCTACGCGCTTAATAAAATAAGGTTAGCAACTATACATATCAATACCGCGCGTTTTCCCTATTCAAAATTGTCATCTTGAAACTCGGTTTAACAAGTTTCTATTTCAGACGAAAAAAAATGTAAAGAGTAGAAGAAAGTAAACTTGTGTAAAAAAAGAAAATGAATGAATGTAAACGAATTAATTAATTTTATAACATTTATTCATTAAACTTACTTTTATTGTTGTAATTTGAATTTTTCGGCAAACAGAATAGGCAGCAATATATTTCGTCGTTCAATCTTTGATAATTTCTCCTCAAGATTTTTTTTTGTAGATTGTAGAAATTTTTAAAGTATTTTGACTTTGTAAAATTTGTCAAAACTTGTTTAACTTTTTTTTTAACTTGTTGAACTTTGAAAAACTTGTTGAAAACTTTTTAAAACTTGTTGAACTTGTAGAAAACTTGTTTGACTTTTTAAAACTTGTCAAAAACTTGTCAAAAACTTGTCATGTAAAAATGACTTTTTAAAATTTGTAAAACTTTGAAAAACTTGTTAAAACTTGTCAAAAACTTGTTTGACTTTTTAAAACTTGGTATTAGAAGAAATGAGAGTAGTTATTCTTAAAAATTCAAAGTTGAGTGTGTTGTTGTGTTGATGAGTAGTAAAAAAAGAAGTTAATAATATTTTATTTGTTTTGTGACCGTAGTCAATACAAAGAGGCTGCCGCAGCGTATACAATTATCAAACTATTAACATATTTTTTTTTTTTTTTTAAATTCGTTTTCCAATCCTCTCACACATAGCCCTAATATAACAATATAAATTTTTCATTTCATTATTTTGAGGTTTTTCTAGCATATTGAGAAAAGTGGTTTTAACAATTGAGTCGTCTCGATCTGCACAAATATATCTTCCTCTTTCTACAAGGAGTGAAGGACATTCAATTAAAAAGTAAAAACACATTTCCGCAGTATTAACACCACATTCACTGCAGACTCCAGACACACATAAACTATACATATTTTTATTTATTTTAATTTTAGCGACTATTTTATTTAATAAACGAATTTGACTCAAAACCCGAATGTATTCTAATGAAATTTTATTTTGTAAGTATTTTTGTGGACCTTTAAACAATACTAAGTGTTGCAAGATCTGCAGGGAACGGGACTCATTTTTTCTTTTTACATCTTCGGAATATAAATAGTTTTCATATTTATCCATCCATTGTTTCTTTTTAATTTGTAATCTAGTGACAGTGAGATTCTCCCATTCTGCCTTCTCTCCTATAAGATCGAACATCGTTCCCATTTGTTTATACCAATTAAATTTGTGGCTACAACTCAGGTCCTGAGCCAACCGCTTCAAACGTAAAAAACATATCTTTGGGTATCTAAAATCTTCCATTAATAGTATTTTTTCAGTTAAATTTAATGCATATTTAAAAATTAATACTGATAATCTTGGTACTCCTGTCTCGAGTCTCACCGCATAGTTTGGCGTATTTTGTGGTAAATGTAACATTTTTTTGTAAAACGAATTCTGAATTTTTTCTATTTCTTCTAGGTATCTTATTCCCCAGACCTGAATTGCATATGTTAAATTACTTATTGTGAGACTTTTAAATAATTTGTTAACAGGATCCCAATTTTTTAATTGTAAGCGGTTGATTAGTGAAACAGTTGCCCCAAGAGCCAAGTTTGCCTTACTGATAGCATTATTAGTTTCGTTTAAAAAAATTGCTGAATTCGAGAAAGTAACACCTAAATAATCATAATTTGAAACAACTTCAATTTTTTGTTTATCGTCATACATAAATGTTCCATACTTATAATTATGACAGTGCCCACCCTTTCTAAAAATTACAATTTGAGTTTTTTGGACATTTATTTCTAAACCTTTAAGGGTACAGTATTTTTTAACGCTTTTATAATTTTTCTCATTTCGACACATGTGTCCGCCGGAATTGCAATGTCATCAGCATACGCATACAATACTATCTCAGTAAAATGATCTATAGACACACCTCTAATCCCCTCTGCCCTCAGGAACTCCTCAAAGTCCGCTATAAAACAAGAAAAGAGCAAAGGGCTCAAAACCTCTCCCTGCAGGACTCCACGTGTAACTCTGGTATATTCCGAGATACCCGAGGACCCTTTTACAGCAATTTCAGCCTTGGAATATAGATCTATCAGTATATTAATTACTTTACTTCCTACACCCATTTTAGATAACTTTTCCCATAGTAATTTGTGTGTAACTGAGGGAAAGGCGCCACAGAAATCTATAAAGAGCACGAATAACTTTCCACCAGAGCGGTGCAAGCGAGACTGAATTGTTGCGTTAAGAGAAAAAATGTTGTCAATGCAACTCCTATTTTTTCTAAATCCCGCTTGCCACTCCGGTAAAAAGCCACCACTCTCCACCCATTTACCCAATCTTTCCGCTAGTATCTGCGTAAAAATTTTAGCCATAGTATTTACAAGGGCAATTGGACGATAGTTCGCCGGGTTTGATTTCTCTCCCTTTTTATAAATCATTCTAGCCAAAATTTTCGCCCACGAGTTTGGGACTTGTTCTCTGTCCATTATTTTGTTAAATATAATTGTTAAGTAATTTATCCAATTTTCTGGGAGATTTTTCCAAAATTCATAGGAGATACCGTCAGAACCCGGGGACTTACCCTCCTTACATTTTTTAAGACTCATCTCTATTTCTAAATAATTTATTCTTTCGTCTAAGTGTGGGTTACTCAATGGCATAACAATTAATGGAGTATTCGAGATCGTGGGAAATATTGATTGAAAATAACTATGCCATTCCCTCAAATCGATTTGTTCTTTCACGGAAAATCGGAATCTATACATATTTATAATTTTCC